CAGCACCTGAACTATCAGCTACTGCGGAATTCTGCCAAGATAAGAGAGGGGAAAGGCACACGGAGTGTGCTGCTCCTGTCCCAGTTCGCCCTCTGCAGCCTCCTCTCTCCCCATACCTTCTGAATTCTTAGCCAAAGAATCATCTGGGTTTGCTGGTTCACTCCTGCAACCCCAGCGCTCCATGGGCTGAGGCAGGAGGATCCCTATGAGTTTGAGGCCAACTGGGCTATGCTCAAAGTGCATCTGACCAGCATAGGAAGATAAACACAAAGATTGTCCACCGCTCCTGAGTGTGAGTTCTCTTTGGAAGTGTCTAGGGAAAGGGAGAATGGCAAGGGACAGAGAACTACAGGCTCAAGGACAGCGTGGTCACCTGAATGAATTCTGCCCGGAAATAAAGTTCTGAAAGTGACCTGCAATGGAGTCGAGTGGGAGAGCGCTGGCCTAGCCGCTATGAGATCTGGGTTCAGTTAAATCAGCGTAAATGAAGGAAGGAAAGAAAGAAGGAAGAAAGAAAGAGGGAAAGAGGGACAGACAGGTATTTTTGCAGAATCCAAGAGATTAGAGACATAAATGGTGAAAAAAAGATTTCTTTCCAGGTTTTTAGATGCAGCCGAACTAGCTGTTCACATGCTGGGCCTTAGAACAAAGGAAGAGTCCAGTTCTAACCACTTATCAGAAGGGGTGAGCTTTAGAAATTGTGGGGGGAGCAAGGGAACAGAAGTACACAAAGCAGCGAATAACTTAGCCTTGAAAGAAGGCAGCACCTTATGAATCCCGAGAGAATAAAATGACATGGACTCTGTTCGTGGGTCGTAGTTGACAATCTCCTCCATATCACTGCAAGAAGCTGGAGCTACAGGGGAGGAAGAGGGACCGGGGGGTGGGATTGCTCTTTAGTCCTGCTTTGTTCTCCCTTTTGAACCTTTCTGTGGTGATTTTTAACAGACAGCATCGAAGTCGTTAGCATTTACCTGGTTATGGGCAATGGCTTCCTATTGGCAGAAGGAGAATTACAGCAAACAGGGAAAGAGATTTATGCTGTCCTGTATCTGCATGTTAGTCTTCTAGCTTTGGTTGTAGATAGACTGGTCAGCTTCCAGAGAGACCAGAGCAGGGTTGTCATTTCCCAAGGTTTCAGTGCTCATGGACTAGTCAGCTTCCGGGGTGACGGTAGCACGGCTGCTGATTTGGGGGGTGGCTTGGTCTTGCTGTAGCACCACCCCGTTCAGATGGTGTGGATCCCGCTGGCTGGTCCGCCTGTCTTGGGCCTTTGGCTCCTGTCTACTGTGGTGGCTTGAGGCTCAGCTCCTGTAATGTCAGTGGCGGGAGGGGGAGACGGGATTACAGTATGAGGCCTAATCCAGATGAGCCCCAGAGCTGTTGGTTTTTTTTTTTTAAACAAAAAGTCCCTAGATTTGAATGGGTGTATTGGGTCTGTCAGGCCTATGGGCAATATTTTTCCTGTACCCAACCATGAATATTCTCTATGGCTATTTCCAAAGCCTGTCTCCTCAGAGAGAATTTCCCTAATTTACAAAGATCTCCTTTCATTTGACCTATAATTGGAGGCAGCCAGCCTAATAGAATTTTATCAGGGGGATATTTGTTCATTTAGTTGGGGATTTATCAGTGGCAATTGACAACCGAGCCTTGAAATAAGACCGAGCTTTATGGAGCCTGCAAGAATAAGGTGGTATAAACTATGGCCACAGGAGATAGTTCTCAATTTATTTGTACAGAACAAAGAGTTACAGCCGCAGGGAAGTGGGGAGCTCAAGGGGATTTCCCTGTTAGTCCTCTTCAGGATGCCTGCATGAAGGTGTAGTATTCCCTTTTGCTTTTGAGATGGGGTCTCCTGTGTAGTTTAGGTTGATTTTGACCTTATGCAGCACGAACTGACCTTGAACTTGCTGTGATCCTCCTGCTTCACCCTCCCAAGTTCTGGTAATAAAGGTTTCCCTCACCACACCCCACCAAATGATGCTTGTACTATTAGGATATGCTCCTATCTTATTTTTATTTTCAGTACTTTGGATTGCCCACAGGGCCTTCACATAGCTACAAACTTGATCCTTTTAAAGTTTGTTACCTTGAGGTAGGGTCTGCTGAGTACCTAATTTGCACAGACTGGGCTCAAATTTGCAGTCCTTCTGCCTCAGCCTCCCCGAGTGCCAGCATTGCAGGCATGCCCCACCACACCCAGTTGGTCCCCACGGGTTGGTCCCCACCGGTCGTTTGTGTCCAGTCCCAGGGCGAATCTGCATGCAGCCCTGGTTCCTATGGTCTCAGCACAGCTTGAGAAGCAGAGTTGAGCAGCCTGCCTCACTGGGTCTGGAGCTCTCCTTGGCCAGGCCTGGCTCCTCCTCCTCCTCTGGCTTCAGACTTGCTGCCCTCTCCCACTAGAATGCTCAGGTCTCCCAGCAACCTTCCCACATCCTGCTCACTGGATGGGTTTTGGGCTCCATCCTCTTTGCTTGCACAGCGTCCTCTGAACATTGGGATCCCAGCACTTCAGTCACCAGGCTTGGTTTATCTGTCCATATAGTGGGTGTCTGCCCTGCAGGGCACTGAACACAGGTTCCTTGCATTCAGCAACATCTGAAAGTCTTTTTGAATTTGTATTTTGCCCAATCAGGGTCAAACTTATCCCCTACCTGTCTCAGCCTCCTGAGTAGATAGGATTACAGTGTGTGCCACCCCACCCGACTCAATAGTGTCTTCACCTCAGGTTAGTCCAGTATCTTTATCTAAAGTAGAGGCAGCACTATTCTCCCAAAATGTATTGCGATAAGTAAGTAAGATGGAGGATAAACTTGATTAGCTTGGAAGTGTTAGGAAGCTAGCAAAGCCTACTCCAGGTAGGTCATGAGGTTGCGACCTGGAGTCTATACCTGTTCCCTCCCCATTCACTCTGGCACTGAACCCTGCTCAGTTTCCGGCCTCTGAACTTTGTAGCTTTCTTATCACACCCTTGTGCCATGATGCTCCTTCCTGCCTTGGAGCCTGCAAACCGTGAACTGAATCCCCGAGCACCATGAGACTAAGTGAACCTTTTCTCCTCTAAGAGGAGGGTGTCTAATATTGTGTCCTAGGAACAGGAGCTGAGTCACCCACACGTGCATGGACACATTTAAATTGCCCTTCTTATTAGTGGTGCTGCTATTAGCCTCCGCATTTTCTCCTCAGGTTCTGTTCCTACAAGAACCAATTTACCTTTTATTCTATACTGTATTCACCCACATCCTTAGCTGAATTGGTTGGATTTGGTTGGATTTGTGCTGGGAAACAGGCTGTCTGCATCATGGGGTTGTGTCAGTCGGGACACATTTCAGAGACAGCTGGGCTTGGGTTATATTCTGGGAGTGAAGGCAGGGTCTACCCCACTGGCTTAAATTTTCTCTTGGGAAAAATATTGCAGCTCAGTGCCAGTGCTCATTTAATTTTCAGTCTGTGAGAATTAACTATATTTCATAAGTGGAAATGCCATGACTAAAAACATGTTACATGCACAGTGAGCATAGGGTCTCCTGATTCCAAAAAGTACATACATAGGAGAGCAATGGGAAAATGATAACAAAGTGAGCTATTTCGTGGCACACTTTGGCGGTAAGATTAGCTCTGTGATTTGCAGTTATCCTGGGGTAAATGTTGTAGCTGCAGGCGCTGCTGCTGAGTTTTCTCGGCAAGCGACCGGAGACTGTTTAAGGAGCCAGACAGGTCGGTATTTATAATCATTCTGTTAAAAGAATGTTTCCTGAGGCAGCAGGACTGCTGCAAGGTTGAGGCCAGCCTGGGCTGCATAGTGAGCCTCTGCCTCAAGCGAAAACGAAGGATGCTCATTTGTGCTCAAACCAAGGCTCAGTCACGATCCCACAGCACAGCTGTGCTGAGCTGGGGCACAGCGCTCCTTGCAGGAGAGTGGAGACACAGCCTCTGTGCAGCTCACCGCATGGAATCCTGCTCGGCTGCAGCGAGGCAGAGGCCGGATGTGTGCACGAAGACAGTCTGGCGGCGGTTCCCCTGAAAGCAAGGACTGAGCTCTGAGCTCGGTCACACTGGCTGTGACTCTTTCCAGTCACAGCCTCTTTCCTCAGACTCTTCTCCTCTTCTCTTTCCTCTTCTCCTCATCGTGGGAGAAACACGATGTGTCAGGCGATGCGCGCAGCCCAGCCCCGGCTCCCCAGCTGCAGTCAGGGGTCCACGGGGCTGCGTCCTTCCACGGGCCCCAGGCACGGCCCTTCTCCGGCCCAGGCCACCACGTTCCTGGGTCCGCGGGCTCCTGTCCTCACACCCGCCTGTGGCATCCGGGCGCCAGCTTCGGTCCACACTCCTCTGGCTCCCTGGCTTCTCTCTGTGTTTCTGCTCAAGGAGCCTGGTGATTCTCTGCGGCCCAGGCAGGTCACAGGGATCTTCTCCTGTTTCCAGGGCTCAGATCAGCAGCCCAGCGCCACAGGCGACGGTCCCAGGACACGGCCCGCCCCCACCCCGGGAACCCGGTCCCAGTCCTGTGGTCCTGCCCACCCCCTGGGGTTCCACGGCCAGGACTTCGGCAGAGCAGCACCCTTGTGCGGCTCCTGCACCTCGGTCCAGCGCTCAGGAACAGTTTTTGGGGTCTCACTACGTAGTCTGGCTGGCATTGACCCGCCGCTCTGTGTTCTCTCCGCAGGTCCGGCTCGCAGCTCCCCGGGTCTGAGTCCTCAGAACGAAGCCCGGGAATGAAGAGCCCCGCGCGCGCCTGCGCAGTCCGCTCTCCGCCCGGAAGTCCGCCCCGCCCCGCGCCTGTCCCTCGGAATCCGGGCCACCGACCCTACCCCGGGCCACGCCCCGGACCGCGCCCAGGACCGCGCCCCGGGCCACGCCCCGGGCCTCGCCCTTGGCCACGCCCTCCACGGCCTCGCCTGCTGCCCCTCCCTTGACCGAGGCTTTAGTCAGACCTATTGCCCCGCCCCCTGCCACTCCCACACTGCCGTTTCCTCCAATCGCCATCCTGGACGCACCGCCCTGCCGTAACGTCGGTCCCGCCTCTCAACCGCTGTGCTGGAGCTCGTTGCGCATGCGCCGAGGTGCGTGCAGCGCCTCTATAAGCCCGCTCTGGTGGGCTCTACCCGCAATCTGCCGACGTCTGCAGAGGGCTTGTTCCCGGGCTCAGACCTGAGCCTGAAGGACGAGCTTGGTAAGAACCGCAGAGTCCCCGGGAGCCACTATCGTGACGACAAATGACCAGTGTAGCCTCAGGCTCCTACCAGGGCTCTGCACCTGGGGAAACTGAGGCACGGTGTCACACAGACGAGCAACTTTCTGCCGATCTGCTCTGCTCTTGACGCTGCTGCCTTCACTGTGCTCCGAGTACTAAGCACTTGGTGCCTGGTTCTCCCGCGGTGCTGGAGGTGTGCAGGGTTTGTGCACCAGAGAATGAGGAGCCAGAAGGGGTGCGCGCAGCCTTGGGGTGAGGTCCTGTTCTCGGGGCGCGTGCGCTGGGGAGTCGGCTCCTCTGGAGCAGGGCGTGAGGGGCCTGGACACCGAATTTCTCCAGAGAGCAGCCGTCAGCGGAGCAGCCCGGACGTCTTCTCTGCACTTGATCTGCGCCCAAGGCCAGAGGGCAGGGGACAGAGGATCCGGGAGGTGTGTTTTGCAAAACGAAGAGTCCTGTGCTGAGTGATGGGAGCTAAGTGATTCCCCCCACGAGGACGTCCACTTCCCTGACCGTCTGCGCTTTCCTTCCTGACAGTGAGAAGCAGGGCCTCCCCAGCCCCTGACTGCTCTTCCTGGGCTCCGGGCTCCAGACCAGCAACAGCCAGGAGATTTCCACCAGCGCAGGCCGAGGAGTCTCAAGACGCTGACTCAAGCCGTGGAGAAAATTCTACCCTTGCATCTGTAGCTACCTCGTGTTTTTCCTTCAGGGTTATCAAGCAAAATGAACAACTGGTATCCACTATAATTTAATAAAGACGAGCGGAAACCGTTTAATGGACACAGACTGAAATTCCAGGTGAAGGGAAGGCGTTACAGTGGGGATGGAGGGAAACGCTGACATTCTTCTTCCCGCAGCGGTGGACGCAAATACAGTAACATAGTTCCTTGCCAAGTAGTGTTTAAGAAACTAAGCACCGTATGTGATACACAAATAGAATGCGGTGGCACTGTTCGGGCGATCCCTGCACAGCAAGACCCTCGGGCCTGATTCGTAGCCCCTGCTGCCACACTTTGGACAGGTGTCGGAGGTGCGGCACTGCGCTCTCCACAGACAGTGGGGCGACTGCTCCCGGAGACAAGTTGGTAGTAAAGTATTTCCACATGGTGCCCGAACAGGCAGCAAACGCCTCCAGTGGTTTTTGCATACGTGCTAAGCATGAGTGGTGCTAGTTCTTCGTTGTGAGGCGCGCACAGCACAACAGCGGCTGACCCAGGAGCGCCCTAGGAACGCGGGCACGTGTCCTGCCTATAATTTGAAAGTGGGATCACTCAAGGGCTGCAGCCCAGCGCCGGAGAGCTGGCCTAGCGTGTGCAAGCCCTGGATCCCAGCCACAGTGCTGCCAGAAAGACGCTGCAATTTATTTCTTTGATAATAGGGGTTGAACCTTTTTTTTTCCTCTCAGAATTGCCTGTTCACGTTTTACAGGTTATGAATGAAATAATATTTTTAAAAACTAACTCATAAGAATCCTATTATACATGTATGACAGGTGCTTACTGTTTGCCATGTTTCAAGTATTTCTCCCAGCGTTTGTTTCTTTTTTAAGTTTCTTTGCCAATCACTAATTTTTAATATTTGTGGGTGGTTGAATTCCTTACCCTTTTCCTTTGTGATTTCAGCCTCGGGTTACATTTTAAAAGACAGATTTTTCTTTTATTTATTTATTTTTTGTCTTTTTCGTTTTTACCGGTACCAGGGATCAAACTCACGACTGCCTGCTTGCAAGGTAGGTGCTTATGCCGCTGAGCTAAATCTCCAGCCCTAAAAGACAGATTTTTAAAAAACCTTTCTTACATTGCTATTGAATTTGTACTTATATTCTGGTATGGAGCCAGTGTGATTTTTTTAAAAATCTTTTTTGTGTGTGTGGTGCTGTGAGTCAAAGCAAGAACTCCACCCTGAGTCACATGCCCAGCCCTTCCTTAACCTGTGTAAAATTTACGTTGGCCTACGAGGCTAGAATCTAACCTTTTTTGAAGTAGAAACTCCATCCTGACATTATTTATGAATACATCATCCACTTCACATTTATTTAAAATAAAAATCCTTTATTAAGTGTTCTTTTTTCTCGTGTATTTCTTAATGTGAGGGGGGCATAGAGAGGGAAGGGAATGCCAACAAAGAGGGAATTAAAGTGTGTTAGGTACGTGTTTCGAGGTCCCACAAGGCTGTGTGCAAGCATCATGTACAGCACACATGTGCTAATAGACTAAAATTTTTAAATTGTCCTTCAAGCCTAATAAAGTATATTAGACACCTGGAGGATAAGAAAGTGTCCAGGGGACCTGTATTTCCTTCCGTTCCTCCTCTGTAGAGGAAGCCGAGCTGTGGTGTAGGACCACCAAGGCAGAAGTGAAACTTTCCACTCGTGTGTACAAGTATCTGCTTCCACACGGATGCGTCTCTCACAGCTCAGTCTCTCTGTGTGACTATTTCAGTGTTTCCTGTGAAGTCACAACCTCTCGATCCCCACTTAGGCTAAATCTCTTCTGCACGCGCCGATTCTTATTTTTTTCTTTTTCTTTTCTCCTTTGCCGGCCAGCACTCCCAGCTGTGGAAGTTCCTGTACCTGACTCGTAACGCTTTTCCTCTGGGTGGATGTCCCTGGTCAGTAGCCATGAGAAGGTAACAGGTGCAGACCACTGTAGCCACTTGCGACTGAAGAGGGGTGTAGTTGTGAACAGCAGTCAGGGGTACCCTCTAGGAGTCTATTCAGAGGAACCTCGCTGGACACCAGGCATTCTCCTCTCTCACGGGTCTGATGGTGATCCAGTCTTTCTGCCTCCTGAGTAGTTCACTACAGTTGTCCTCTGAGGGAAGGTTTTCACTGGTGCAGAATGTGGAGTTGAGTTCCTCCGTGGATCTGTCGTGGGGAGGACTCCTCCACGGCCATATACTCCTTGGGGGTATTCATACCCATTTCCTGCAGTGACACACGCAGGATCCTCCCCCATGCCGACAGAGTAACTGGTCCTTCCCATCTTCCCGTCTCTGGGAACTGCCATGCTTATGTTTCCTCCCATTTTCCATCTTTCTACTTTTCACCAGTGTGGTTCAGCTGGGGTGCTGTCTATACCATCCGTGGATTAAGTGTAAATGTTGTAAAATCAAGGTGAGCTTGTGGCTTACGATCTATTTACCTCTTTTTGTTTTTATAATTGCCATTTTCCACATGGCTCCCTGCAACTGCAATGATGATAATCATAACTGAACTAGGGGATCTAAGGCACATTTTATAATGGTTCTCTCTAAACAGTTAGTGACATTATCCACATAGGTGTAATCACATAAAATGTTAACAGGTTCTACCATCCTAATGTGGTAATTCCGGCAACCAATTATGACTCTTGAGCTGCAAGTACAGGAGTAGCATTGTTCTTGTGATTTTTCACAGTTCAATAAGCAACAAATGGTGAGCATCCACCCATGAAATAAATTAACCTATTCCCAAAGGAGCTGTCTGAGTATTTCCAGGTAAAATAAATGAATAATGCCAATATAGTTCTGCAAATTCATCAGAAGAATAAGGACTGTCAACCAGTCTGATGTGTTCTGTAAAGGGTGCCCGGCAGACTAAGAAAATTTGCAACAAATGAGTATGTTTTGCAAGAGTAATAGGAAGCATGACATGATCAGGAGCAGATCCTGAAAGCTGCATGCTGTGATGGCAGGCTTGTATCTCTAAGTGTCTCCAGACATTTTGTAATTGGGTTAGGAAGATCAAGTCATTCAACAGGGTGATATTTATTATTCACTGTTTGACCAAAACATCCACAAGAGTGAAGTATAGGCAGCATGCTCGGCATAGAGGCACAGTCAGACCAATTTAAAACAAACTTTCTATTTGCTAAAGCAGTTTCTATTATATGGAGCTGTGTAAGGGTCTCAGGTGTGAGGGTATGAGGATAATTCAAATCTAGATCTGCTCGCAATGTTTTATATGGTTTGCTCAGTTGATAGTTATGCTAATTTTGGTTGAATCCGATTAATATTCCTCAATAATTTCTGGAAATAATTTAATGCTCATAATGTGTCTCTTCCTAATGTTGATTTTTGGGTTCAGGCTGTGTTTTCCATTACCAGAGTTCCCAAATAGAGTAGGGAGAAATAGAATTTTCCCTGGGGCTATGCATGATCTATTTTGTATCAAACCCTGTTTAGTCTCTGCAAAAAAGATAAATTGTTGCTGAGAATCAATAGCAAGGAATGTATCATTTATATAATGTTTATATAGGCTTAAGGTAATTTTTTCCTAATAGGATTTAAAGCCTGACCAATGAAATACTGACACAGTGCGGGGCTGTATGATGTAGACATCATCCCTTGTGGCAAAGCTGTCCATTGATATTCATGCATAGGCTGAGCATAGTGGGAGGAACAGAGGAAGCAAAACCAGGCTGGTACTGTGGGTTTAAAGGGAAGGAAAAAAAGCAATCCTTAAGCTCAATAACTACAATAGGTCAGCCTCCTGGGACTGCATGAGGCCTGGGATTGAGTGCACTGTTTACAGATGTGTCATACTTTACACAGTTTAAACACTGTATTTTAAAGAAGGCTAATTTTGTTTAATTAATCCAAACATAGGTTGGACAAATATGGAGGATTATGAACTTCATTACCCATATGTTGGCATACTTTCAAGTAGTTTCTAAGATTTTTAGTCACTGAATGACCCCTAGTGCTTGCATATACTCCATATTAGCATTCTCAAAAGCCAGCCGAGGCACAATAATCTCTGCTGCTTGGGCATATGATAGCTGATGTCACACAACTTCCTGCAACCTGGCTAAGAGCTGGGCATAAAGCTCATGGGACTGAGCTCATGGGAGTGTATAAAGGACTGAGTTGGAACACCATCCTCAGAAATAATTATCCAGGTTTTGTTCATCACGAGAGCAATTTGCTGGTAAGCCTGGTCTGGAAGGGTGAACTCTGAGTTTAGATCTGAGTATGGGCCTGTTCCCAATAGCATGTCTTCCATAATCTCTGGGTGTGCTGCCACCTGCTTCTGATGAGCTTGCTCGGCTGCTAACTCTTGGAAATTAACATAGAAAGTTAAGTATTGCCCTGCAGAAAGGCAGAACTTGGCTAAACACTTAATGTCGAAAGGAAGTAAGTGCAAAGCTCCCAAGACAGACTCCAATAAACCCAGTGTGAAAGGTGTACGAACACTGAATTTTAATTCCTTGAGCAATTTGTACTCTTAAGGATTGTGTTCATGAACTTTTTGTTGTAGATTAGTAGGGTCAGAATGAATATTAACTGGAAATAAACAAATCTGAAGGACTCTTTGCTAAGTGCAGCCTGTTTATCTGCAACCAGAGGGGAAGGAGGAAGAAGGGAAGGAAGAGAAGTGGGCCAGGGTTCTTTTTTTTTTTTGGTCTTTTTCCTTTTTATCGGTACCGGGGATTGAACCCACGACTGCCTGCTTGCAAGGCAGGTGCCTATGCCACTGAGCTAAATCGCCAGCCCCAGGGCCAGGGTTCTTCACCTTTATTCCCACCCTTTATCAATGGTGTGGTAGGGACAGGATGATTAAAGGGAAAAGCACTGCACAGACCAAGCTCCGCATGGAGAAAGTTTCATGTTCTGAACCCTCTCTCACTCAATCCCCACTTTCTACATCAAACTTGCCCATTTGAGTAAGCCAGGGATTATGTTTGATAACATCCTGGGAAAGCAACCGAATACTAATTTGAGCACCAAACTGGCACAACAGAATGTCCAGTAAAGCGATACAACGCTGTATTTCAGGGGATGAGGTTTGCTCCATTGCCCTGCCTGAAAATTCTCTGCGTGCACTCACATTTATTTTTTCCTTTCTTTTTCTTTTTCTTCTGTTGCTGGCCAGCAGCTCTCCCCTGTGGAGGTCACCGTCAATGGCTTCTTCCCTGGGTGGACGTCCCGAGCCAGTGACTCCGTCAGGGCACCACCTGTCCAGCCTATGAGCTTGCGCCTGACTGAGTGATGAGGATGAAAACAAAGAGACACAGAATCAAAGACGCCAGGTGCCTCATGTATCCCCTGCCCAGACCAGACCGTGTGCAGCCAAGCCCCAGGTGAAGGCCTCACCAGAACTCATCACAGTACTTCTGCACTGGTGTCTCTGCTGAGGTATAAAACCATGCTGCCCCTGCTGCCCATGTAGCTCTCAGAACTTCCTTCCATGGTGAGTGCTGCCTGGCTCAGGAGTCATTCTTTGCTCAAACTGTTAGATTTATTTCTGTTATTCATTTAACACATAAAAGCACCTAACGTACCAGGAATGAACATCACTCAGAACTGGATTTTATTTTTTTTTTAGAGAACGAGCAGGTATTAATCACTTCTTTCTTTTTAGGTCATTTATCTCAGTGGCTTCGGATTTGTATTGTTGGACTTTCCAAATCCTCAGTCCTCAGCTTCACGTCACCCACGGGGCTGTCACAGGGGATGCCGTGGGCTGTGCCTGCACGCTCTGAATTGTCCTCTGTTCTGCCTTTGGAGCTCTCTTCTGAACTGTTTCCTTCTTTGAATCTTCCTGATTCATCTCAGATTAGGCACATCCTGCAGAAAGTGCCAAGTCAGAAGTCTGTTTTAGGGCATTCCCTGAAAAAGTTGTAATAAGACAACACAGAGAACAAGAAAATATTAACTCAAAGATTAAGAAAGAAATGGCAAAAAATGTTTCTCCAAGCCGAGGATAATGGTGCGCATCTGTAATCCCAACTGCTTATGAGGCTGAGGCAGGAACATCTTGAACTTTAGAGCAACCTGGGAACACTGGTAGGCCTGGTCTCAAAAATTTAAGCACAGGGTTGGTATCCATCTGACAGAGGGCATGCCTCACAAGCTCAGGACTCAGAATTCAACCCTCACAAGAACTTGGCAGAATTGTTTTCTATTTGTTGTTGGTTTTTTTTGAGCCAGAGTATTGATATATAGTGCGAGCTGGCCTTGATCTTGCTTATGTAGCCCAGGCTGGCCTGGAATTCTGTGTGATCCTCCTGACTCAGCCTCAAGCACTGGGATTACCATCGTGCACCGCCCCTCCCCCAGCTGAGACCTGCTTTTTGGCACAAACTCTCCCTTTTGTGCGTTCAGTGGCAAGGATTCAGCACAGTGATGTCCTGCATTTGCCAAAGAGTCCTCCAGCCTAAGTGTGTATACAGATCACACTTACTCAGCAGTAACATGACTCAGGCACACACAGGACACTAGAGACTCAACAGCAAAGGAGTCAGCACAAAACTCTGCCTCTTAAAGCCGAGCAGGGCCAGCAAATGGCAGTCTGAGGCTAGACCCCGCCTGCTCTGTGCTTTTGTTCAGCTTGTGGACTAAAATGGTTTTTATCTTTTTAAGTGGTTAAAAATCCATTACCAAGGGTTCTTTCCCTAACAAAGGATAAAAACTAACATTTATACTGACTCAGTATGGATGTTACACTGCACGTTTATGGGTCTATATACAGTAATAGAGGGATCCCAACTGCTGGGGAAAATAAGAGTATGATAAAAAAAAAACTTTGTAGCTCCTGGATGCTACACGGGACCTCCCCCAAAGGCTGTTATAAACTGCAGGGGAACACTGAAGTGAAGTGTACTAGTCTAGAGAAAACCAAAAGACGCACAGAGGAACAAAATGGGCTGTTACGACACCCCCATGACCTGAAAGAGGGGCCCTGGCCCTTGGCCTCATATCAGAGCCTCCACTCCCAGAGACCCCAAAGTATTTTCCAAATTAAAACAAACAAACAAACATGGTTTGGCTGGGAATGTGGTAACTATATCAAGGGGGATGGTGGGAGTTTTCTATTGGGAGCAGAAACTGACATGATGGACCTCAGGCTATCAAGACAGTTTCATCGAGGGTCTCACACGGGAAAAACACCATGAGATGTTACCAGGCGTCATTTCTATGTACCATGGCTCACTGCCACAACTTCAGCTACTGGTAAGCAATGCCTGACCTGTGCTCAGAACAACCCAAGACAGGGGCCCACCAGCCCCAGGATATTCACAGATTTTGCTGAACTGCCCCGAGCAAAAATCTATCCGTATATGCTGGTGCTAGTCTGTACTTCTTCGGATGGGTTCAGGCTTTCCCTGCCCAAACAGAAAAGACATAAAAAGTGACAAACATACTACTGAGACACATCATTCCAAGAATTTGGACCACTCCTGACCGTGTTGTCAGAAAATGGACTGGTATTCACAGCTGGGTAGTCCAGGGGCTCACACAGATGTTGAAATTAAAATAGAAACTATACCCAGTCTACCAGATCCAGAGCTCAGGAAAGGTGGCGCACAAGATCTGGACCCTCACACAATTATTAAAAAAGTATTGCCAAGAAACCCACTTAAAGTTCTACTCATGGTCCTCCACCAGGTCAGTTGGATCCTTCACCAAACAGACTGGGTATTCGCCTTATGAGATCTTGTTCAACTGTCCACTCCCAATCATGGTTCAAATCATGGGTGATCCCTGCAAACTAGGGGAAATATCCCAAAGGAGGCAGATGCAGGATTTGGGAATAGCCATGCAAGACATCCATGGGTGAGCACAAGAGAAAACGCCTAGAAAGAGCAAATATATCCTTTCAAGTCTGGAATCTCTGCTTTGGTTGAAAATGAAATCCAACCACCTTGGGACCCATATGTGATGGGACTCATGCTGTAATCCCGTCTACTCACATTGCTATTAAAGGTACAGGAATTCTGCCGTACTCTCCACAACAGTCAGCTTAGCAAGAAGCTAAAGACAGTGGCTCACCAGTGGAATACAGATCATCTGAACCAGCTGGTCCTACAGTGAGACCATGCTACCACCAAAAGGACAGCCATGCTCTAATCACCCTGGAAGCTGACCAGTCTATGCTCACTGAAGCCTATGGGAACAACAGCCCTGTTCTGGGATTTCAGAAGCTGACCAGTTTATCACAGCCAAAGCCTCTGGATCAACACAGAGTTACAATAACAACATAAGTCTCTTTTTTGTTATAATTCTCTGCCTGCCCAGTAGGTAGGCAATCTTCATAACTAAGTGATAATGAGGTTCTCTATGAAGACTCATTCACAGAAAACATGAAAGGGAGAATGAAGCAAGATTTCAAAAGAAGAGGCGGAGTTTACCAAGCTTCCACATCCCTACAGGTGCTGTTCTTTGTTCTAAGAAAGAAGAAAACAGTCACTTCTGTCCCTGGAAGAAAGTTTTATAACTTCCAGCCCACAGAACATCCTGTTACACCCAAACAGAACCATGAAGATATCCTTAGCTACAAATACTGAAAACCAATCTGCTTCACAGTATGTATGAAACTACAGCCCTTCCTTCATTCAGGGCTCCGCCCTTCTGAACAGAAACCCACTAGGCCAAGTGTACAGCTAAGTAAATAATCCTCCTGATTCACCCGCGTCTCTCCAGGCTCTTAAATTCTGCAACGGAGTAGCAAGCTGGAAGATGCCACCACAGGAACTGTTCAAAATGATGCAAAATATCCAAAAAACAAAGTTCAAACAGGACCTGTGAGAAAATGTCAACTGCCAAACGTTATATAACATTAGTCTCTTTTAAAAAGGTGACTGACTACCAAGAGGGACAGAAAACAAAATCTAAAAAAAAATCGACCCTCCAATTTGATAAAAACTAAGAACTGTTAGATATATTTATTTCAGTGAACCCCAAGTTCAATAAAAACTGGAGGGCATTTCATCAGCCAATGGGTGAAACCAGGGATAAAGATGAAACTCTTAGCTGGGCATGGTGGTACACACCTCTCATCCCAGATACATGGGAGGCTGAGACAGAAACATCTAAATTGCCTAGGAAACTTCACAAGATCTTGTCTCAAAAATTATGATGCAAATGGTGGTGGAATGTAGCGTGGTGTGAGGTCTTGGGTTCAGTCCCCAGCATGACAAGAAGAAAGGAGGAAAGGAAAGAAAAGAGAAAGAAAGAAAGAAAAGAAATAAAGGGGAAAATTCGTGGTGCATACAGTCCTCACACTTTAGCACGCTGAGGCGGGAAGATCATGAGTTTGAGGCCATCCAGCCTACACAGTGAGCTCAAGGCCACCCTACACCATATTGTAAAACCCTGACTCAAAAAAAAAGTAAGTAATACAAACGTTGACTATTACACAAAAGGCACTTGAGCAAATTTTGAGTGTTGGAAAAACTTTCAGGTATCAGCACTTATTAGAGAATAAGTAGTGAAGGGAACTGTCATAGGGGATTGGTCACCATCTAAACGCGAGCGGTTTCTGCAGGATGTACTGCAGCTTTTGCATATGTGCAACTGAGTTTGTGCTTGGCGGGTATTTTTTGAGGGGTGTCTCACTGTGAGGCCCAGGTTGGTCGTGAACTGCCGGACTCCAACAGTCTTGGTTTCTCCGACTCCCAAACACTGGGACTACAGCGTGCACCAGCCCACCCTGCAGTGAAACATAATGGGTTCCACGAAGCCTGCTCACATGCTGTCTTTCAGGAAGTTATCCTTTATTTGTTTTGTTTTTGTTTTTCTGAGACAAGGGCTTTGCGAGGAGGCCCAGCCAGGTCTCCACTTCCTGATCCTCTCGCCTCAGCCTCCTCAATGTTGGGTCTGCAAATGTGCACAACTGTGCCAGCTCCAACGTTACCCTCTCACTGCTTTCGTGGTACTGGGAATGAATGCAAGCCTTGTGCTGAGCTCCATCGCGTCCCCTTTCATTTAATTTTTCTGAGGCAGGGTCTCACTAAGCTGCTCCAGGGCTGGGGTCCTCCAGGAAGCTGAGATCCCCACACCTCCTCAACCATCGCCAGGCGGCAGCTCTTTGTACAGAGACCCTTGCCCCCTTCCAGGTGGACAAAGAACTCTTGAAGGTTCAAGACTCACCTTGGACTCCAAGGCTAGAAGCAGGAGGGGAAAGGGACTGATGGGAGAAGGAAACTGGGTCGGGGGCGGGGCCACGATCGTGATTGGAGGAAATCAAAGAGGGGCTGACAGGAGGCGGGGCGCAGGGCGGGGCCCCGGCGGCGAGGCTGAGGCCAGGTATTAGGCCGTGGGCGTGGCCGAGGGCGTGGCCGGGGGCGGGGCCGAGGAAGGGGCCGGGGACGCGGAGGCGGATGCGATCCCTCCTGCTTGGGCTTCTCCGACTTCGAGGGGCGGGGCCCAGGCCGCGCAGGGTGGCGGTTTCCGCATGCGCGCATCTGCCGGTTCGGCGTGGTTGAGGGAGAGCAGCCCGCGAGGCTGGGCTCCTGCAGCAGGCAACCTGGAAGCGCCGGCTGCAGGGGGCGCTGTGCAGAGGACGCAGGATGGTGGGTCCTAGAGGTCAGAAAAGGAGAACACTCTCACCCTCTGCATCGCCTCATGCTACGGGGGCGTGCAGGCGGCCTGGACCGGGTGTTCCTCCCCCGGGCCCCGCTCGTCTGCTGCCCGTGCGTTCAGTCGGGCACAAAGTGGGCCCCGAGGTCCCCTGTGCCTCGCGGCTCTCGCTTAAAACCCGTCCTCAGCTTCACCCACGCGGCGACGACCTTTCTATTGCAAGGCCCGGAGCGTGCAGACCACGTTCTCCCCTTGGTAGGCCTCGCGCCGCTTCCACCTCCCGTGGTTCTGCAGATATTCCCTCCGGACCCGGCTTTTCAGTGCCTTTGGGTTCACACCCAGAACCGAGATGCAGGGAGGATGAGGTCGTTCTACTTCTTGACGTCCCACAAAACTGTTCTTTACAATTTTATCTTTCCACCAACAGTGCACAAGCGTTCTGATCTCTCCACATTCTAGGGAGCCTCTCTCCCTCTCTTCTCTCTCTCTCTTTTCTTTTTCAGTACCAGGGAATGAACTCATGACCTCTTGTTTGCCAGGCAGGCGATTATGCAGCTGAGCTAAATTCCCGGGCCCTCTTTTCTCTTTTGGTCTTTTCCTTTTTTGATAGTGGGCATCCTAAGGGGTGTGGGGTTGTATTTTCTTACAGTGTCGGATTGCATTTCTATAATGATTAGTGATGGTGACAGTTTTTCATGCGCTTGTTGGTGATCTGAACATTTTCACTCCAGTAAATTCAAGTCTCTTACTTTTCCTTTAAAAATGGTTAATTGGGTTTAGATTATTGGTTTATGCAAATTCTGTATGTATTCTGGATTGTGTGTGTGTGTGTGGGTGTGTGTGTGTGTTGGTGCTGGGCATTGAAATCAGGTCTTTGTCTTGAGTTATATACGTCTGTCCATTTTTACACTTTGTCATTATTCTACCCGTCTCTCAACCATTTAAAAACTTATTCAAGGGCAAGTTTCACAAATCATGTTTGCTTAAACCTCCATCCGTCAGTGGGGAAACCTAAGCATAGAAATAGTGCCTCATACACTGACAGCATGATGATCTACACTAGAAAACTCAGCATGAATACTGCACTGTTATGGGATCCAGGATCTGTACTCAGACTTCAGCCGTCTCAGTAACGTCCTGCTTAGCATTTGCTCCCGTTTGGGGCAGTGTCTGAGTCACCTCCCCAGAGCTGAGACCCAACCCCTGACCCACAACATAAAAGGACAGAAGGTTCACTTTGGCTCACAGTTGTAGAGGTCTTGGTCCTTGCGTGGTCAGTGGTTCCTAGGGAGAAAGGTGGGGCGGACGCTGGACGGGCCTGGGTAGAGGAGAGCTACTCAGCAGGGTAGCCTGGAAGCAGTCAGTGAAAGGAAGAGCTGAGGAGGAAGATAAACCCTTCCAGGCCAGGCCTCCAGTGACCATCTCCAACCAGACCCTGCCCAACCAGGCCCCGCCCC